ATAATAGGGACCTTACGCAATCAGGACGGCAACGCCAAGGAAGACTTCGATTAAAAAATGAATTTCTACTCTTAGTTAGAATTTCAAAAATGGTTGCAGGAGCTTACTGTCTTATACGGCGCCACAGCTCAACTTCAGCATGGCGTATAAAAGTAGCGTTGAGTTCCAAATCGAAATTAAAATAATTTTCCGTCGCGGTTTCGGTTCGCAGACGACGCAAATTTTGGCGATTTCACGTTGTTGTTTTGCATGGGACGGCTAAGAAATGTACAAAGTTTCAAAACGCACGTGCTGAGCTATTGTTCTGCCAATTAGATCTCTTGTTTTTCCACGTCCTCGTTGCCGTCGCCGTCGTGGTTTGCGTAAGGTCCCTACTAGGTTACTGAGACGGTGGACCTGTCTTTTGTAGTGTCGTCTACCCCAAGAAGGAGCCAAGGTTAATCTTAAAAGGGCCTAGCTGAAAACGACTTTCGCCAGTTTTAATCAGAGACTTGAAGAAAGCACCTTATCGTCACAGTTTTGGAAGTCACAAGTTTTGAAATAAAGGTAAGGATTGCAAGGTTATTAATCTTTACCCCCAGTTGAATAAAGAGAGTAAGTTTCCAGAGAAACTGTGGTGCTGTGTCGGTGGAGGGTAGCACAGGATGCTTTGGTTTTAATCAACTGGGTTGATGATATGATATAGGCCGCCTTATCCTTACAGAAAAAAAACTTCCTTTAAAATATTGTTGTTAACTGTTTCACCTGGAGGAGTGTACTATCCATAATATTTTGGTAGAGAGCAAGAAGGGGAAAAAGAAGGGCCAAAAGGAGCAGAAAGTTAAATAAAATGCCGAATTTCAGTTTACTTAAATACCTTGCATTTAATTTAGCTGTATTGCCGAGAACAATTTTGATAATTTCCCTTTTTTCTTCTCAAATTTCAGGGAGCGAAAAGGAAATGAATTTCTTCTGGATCACTGCATGGATGTTCTTAAGCTTACTTGTTCTAGCGTTGGCCATGGCTAACAGAAAGGCAGAGAAGAGGGAAGAAAACGAGTGTTCACCTTCTAAGAAAAGTCAGTAAACATACCGCAAGCTACTCGTCTTTGATCTATCGACCATTCAATCCCTTCCCGCTCGTCCCTCTCCGTGACCAATGGTTGGTTACCGAACTAAAGCCGGAACACAAAAATGAGGTTAATCGTTAGCCGCAAAACGGGCAGAAAATTAAGCCGGTAGGCGTAAAAATCGATAAATTTTATCCGTTGGTCGATATAAAAGTCATGATCAATAATATATATTTTTTTCATTTAATCACAGCCATAAAATGCCCAAAGTTTTAACCCGTTAGCTGTAAAAGCCATCACCCCATTGCAGTGATGGCAACCCCTGGAAATCTAAAATCTGGAGACTTTTCTTTTATAACACTCCGGCATCGAATTTCACCCCCCCCAAATCGTGTAATTAATAGCTTTCAATGTTCACCTCAAAAAAAGATTTCCGAAGTCTTCCGAGTGCAAGCGAAGACTTCCAAAGTCGACCCAAAGATTTCCGAAATCTACCGAGGAATTTCAATGGTTTCCGAAGTTGATCCGCAGACTTTTGGAGTTGAACCGAAGTATTCCGAAGAGTTTCCGATGTTCAAGGTCGCTTTTATCCGGGAGATTTGGTTATTTGTACGGGAGAACGGGAGACTCCAGGATTATTCAGGAGAATTGGCATGTATGCCATTAAGATCCTTATTGTTGACCACACTACGTATGCAAAAAGCTAGAGTCGCTCTCGGCTATCGCGTCGCGCGACTCTTTWCGCTTCCTTCGTGCTTAGCAACCTCCCGCGTGCACCATAACTCAATCTTGTACGCTGTGGTGTTTACCATTTGTTAAATTGTTTCCTTCTTAAAAGCTGCATAAAGTAATTTTTTCTACTTCCAATACTTTGAAAATACAAGTTTGAAATTGCTTGAACCTGTTTGAACTCCATGGAAAGTTCAGGTTTTCAGTTTCTGTCAAGTTCCCACTCAGTCATCTCAAGGAGGGACCCTGGTAAGGACATGGTTTTAGTGTTCCTACCCAGTCTGACGCGGTTTAACCTTCGCCATCTTGAGTTTCTCTGCAACACGTGCGACTAACTGTGCTTACTATTTATCCGCACTTCTTGCTTGAGATCTGTGAAATTTTGAACGGGATGTCGTTTGGAGGAGGATCTGGGAACGTACAAGTTGATAAACAACTTCAACAAGAGCTACTGGCTGAAGATCAAAAATACAAGTTTCAACACCAGATTCACGAATTCACAGATATGTGTTGGGAAAAATGCGTCGAGAAACCGGGCAACAAACTCGATGGGAAAACAGAAACTTGCATTGAGAACTGCGTGGAAAGATTTCTTGATACTACAAAGTTTATTGCTAACCGTTTCAGCGAAAGGTTTAAGTAAAGGCCTCACTCACTACCAGCCTGTCTTGAGAAAACGGTTTTAAAAGCTACAAATTAATAATATCGGACGACCTTTTAGTGTGGAAAACGAGAGGTTAGCAGAACACAAAGATTTCCATTTCAAGATTTTGTATTTGTGGGATCAAAGCTCTGGTCTCACTCTCTGAAGTATCTCAACTTTCAAGGTGAAAGAAGGAACATCAATCCACAATTTTACGCAATAAGGACAAATCACACGCAGGATAAATCCGAAGTAAGGTCGTACTGGGTAACTGCAATAACAGTGTTTTGAAATAAAGATAATTTTTTTACCAATCGGTGAAGGGTCAGGAGATGTATATCTGCTTTAGTTTTAAAAATGGGTTTTCAAAGTAGCTGTGAGTATGACTCAGTATGTTATGTGTTGATCAATTCGAAGCTTCAACATTCCCCCCTTTCCCTGAGCTACACACGGGCATTTGAGAGGCCCTGTTAGAGGGGGGGTATAGGTGTCAGCCATCTGAATTTCAAACTTTGTCATGTCACCATTTTGAAAGGTTCCGATGTGGCTGTCACAATTTCATCAATGTCCTGCTTGAAGTCGCATTTTCATTTCCTTGATGTTGCTGTTTCAATGCCATCTCACAGCTTGGAATTTATCTTATCAGAGCCTGATTTGACTGTCCATCGTGCCAGCGATATTTGTTAATCTGTTCAAAGGAACACTTGCTAGGGTACATAAGAATATGGTCAGTGTGTGGGTTCACAAAATTTGTGGAAAAAAAAATTTTATTTGTTTAACAAAGCTCTAAAATACATTTAACATATGGTTATTCATGTAGCTGTACCAGACACAAGGATATTTTCATATCAAATACAGTTTTTTTTTGTTTTTGATTTTTTGGTTTTAAAACTAAATGTATTATGAATATCATGAGCAAAAAAAAAAATATATGTGTATATATATATATATATGCTCACTACTTATTTTCTTAGCTGCATAACCACCTGCAATGCAAAGAAAGCACATGCAAACATTAGGTGCTTTAAAGTTTTCTTTCATCGTAAATCTTTAACACTGGAAGAAAATTAACCCTTTCACTCCCAGAAGACTGACCAAAAAGAAAATTCTCCTTACAATATTCATAGATTTATAAGTAAAGAGATGATGAAAAGAAAGAAAAACAAAAATATGGGGATACATGTTGTATTGTTTGATTTAACACCAAATTCTCAAGGCCAAAATTATAGCAATGATAATGGAGTAAGGTAAAGGGAGTTGATATTTTGATCTACAGATGAAGGGCAAGAAAGGTGAATAGTTTTAGAATCTGAATAAGGGATCAATGGTGGTGATCTGAATTTAAGCCCTGATTGAGCCACGTGTTGAGTTTTTGGGAAACACATATTGCTCCTTCACTAGAGAGTGGGTCTCTGTACTCACAAGTACAAACTGGATGCTAGTTAACACCCAGGGAAACCTGACAACTTGCTAACCCTTTAAACCCTCACATCAACATGCAAGTTCTCTAGACTGTTTGCTATACATTTTCAAACAGATGGGCGATGAGGAAAGGTGATGTCGACAATCACAATGGTAAATATCATTGACTTACCAACTGCACTATTGAATGGGATTCTGCACAATGCCTAACCTACAGTACTAAAAATTTCAACGACTCACTGTGCAAAGCTGGTTTACAAACTTAGAACAGACTCGTCTTAACAGTTGTCAACTACTGCCAGCCCCATACAACAACTCATTCTTGTCATTAACATTATAAACAAACTGAACAGAATGACCTAACTTTACTGACGGATCAAAACAGACCAATCGTGACTGACTTATGCCACTTTAGTCTTACAGCTAAAAAACATCACAAAACTGACTAATCATTTTACACAAACTGGACTAAGAACATTCTACTGACAACTATTCACTTGACTCTGATGATAACTTCTGCACAGGTTGTTGTCAGTCACCACCACTGACAACAGTCCGGACTACACTCACCCGGACGATCGTACTACACTTCCACATGAACCCCTGGGTTCAAAACATTAATTTTACTGTAGACATTTCCTGTGGTACTTAGCACATGTATGTGTACAAGGGAAATTTGTCTAACAATAAAGAGCTTCTTAAGGCTGCAATCATTTAGTCTTCACTCATGACCTTAATGTCTAATACAAAAAAGAGATTGTTGGGAGAAATAAGATGTATATCACTTACGGAGAAGAAGGTTAAAGAGGAGGTTGGATTCATACTCCTTGTGGAAAATCCATACATACGTTAGTTGTCCACTCCCCATGGGAGCTTTTCAGGGTCAATTCCCATCCATCCCACCCCAGGGGAGGACATCCATGACACTGTGACAGTAATCTCGTGCGTGGGAAATTAACGTCTCCCACCCCTAACCCTGCAGGAGCCTCACTTATTTTAAGACCATGAGTATTGGTCTGGCCGGGGCTCGAACCCTCGACCTCCCGCACAACACAATCCGGCACTCTAACCAACTGAGCTAACCGGGATCAATGTATGCTGTGTTTTACTCTTGTCAATTAACCTCATCTGCGTCACTAATGGCAACATCAGGCTCATTCTTGGGATGGAGAAAAGGCTCAATTAATCCTAAATTTTCTTTATGATATACGTAAGCAAAATTTAACCCATCATACCTTATTAGCTGCTTCTAAAGATGATATAAGATTGTCTAGTTCTTCTTTTGAAAGCTCCACAGAAATGTTTCTGTCTTTCCCACGCTCCTCGACATCAAAATCCAATGTGACAGTGGGTTCTTTCACACTGGCCAACTTATCACTGGACATTGTCATCTGTAGGACCAAAGTAAAATGATCATTCAATAACTGGAACTGATTATAATAATAAATGTTAATTAATTAACCAGGGTGACCTCTTCAGCATAAAATGCTGATATCAATAAGGGCCCTGCTAGAAAAAAGAAAAATAAAAAAAGAGCCTTAAGAATTCTAAAATATGAGTTTTAAAAAATATGACTGAGTTAGGATCCTTCACTAAAATATGAGTTTTAAAAAATATGACTGAGTTAAGATCCTTCATTTTATTAAGAATATCATCAAACAGTTTTGATCCATTAAAATAAAAAGACTCCCTTGCAGTCTCAATTGTGACTTTGGGAAGCACTAAGTTCTTCCGGCCCACTTCCCCTTGTGTTGTGGATAGTTCTAAAACCCCTAAAATGAATATAAATTAAAAAAAAAAACATTCATTTGGTTGATTGTCAAACTTGCTTTCACCCTTTGACTCCCAGTCGAGTGACCAAGACAGAAATTCTCCTTACCATATCACTACAAGCTCAAGCAGACAAGTGATGAGAATATATAAACATATTAACTGCCAAAGGGGATTATCAGTTGATTCAATACCAAACTCTCTGATCCAATATCATAGGAATCGTAAAAAGCTAGGAGAATTACTATTTACATGTAGATCTCAGGAGCAAAAGGTTATAATAATTAAGTTACTAGTGGAATTTGTGCTTGTCAAATTGTATCTTCCTTTTTATTGAAAACATGGTTGATAATTTGAGTTAATTACAAAACTGTAGGTTATACCAATCCCACACTACATGTTGTACCAATATACATAGACTCACTCCCAGTCAACTCTCTCTGGCCAATTATTCAATCAATAGTCAGTTGAAAATGAGATCAATGTGGCCTCTAAAACAACAAACCCTGACAAAAAATTTATTTGACAACAGGGTTTGCTGGGCTCGCTGTAACTGGCTACACTGTTGCAGTGTCCCTGCCCTTTTTTTTTCCATTGATTGTTATTTTATTTTCCTTTCTTTCCTTTCTTTTTTTTTATTGAGTGTTGTTGTTTGGCGAAGTTAATAAATAAATAAGTATGCTATAGAGTTTCAAATGCCATTAGCCCCGATATAACAAGTCTTACTAGCTCAGTGGACAATCTTTATCCATGTATATATTTTGTCAATTTTATTAGTTTACACTAAAACTTAACAGTTGTGTTACAGTTCTAAATAATATTTTGACTGCTTGTCAGTCATTATCAAGCTGAAATTTTAAGAATAAAATTCAACAGTCATGTAAAATGTATTTTGAAATGAACAATTAGGTTATAAAACTGATACTCATCGTCTTTCTTCATGGCTAGTTTTGAGTCTAACTTGTTTTAAAAAATTCTTTATGATAAAAATTGAATTAGTGTCAAGAAAAAGTTTCCTGTCATATGTAATCGAAGGTTGCACATACCTTGACTTTCCAGTCAAAATCTTTTAGATAAGAATTTGATATCGAAGCTGCATTAAGTACAAGCATTTGCCTCACTTCTTCTTGACGAGGCCAGACACAATCAAGAACAGCTTGTTTAACCTCAGGAGTGAGTGATAATCTGTCAAGTTCCTCGGAAATCTGGAGAGTTAAATGTAAATTAGGGTATTGCAAAGTGAACCATTTTGTATAAGTTTTACTCAGCTACAAAGTGATACTGTAAATTGCATTCAAATGAAAATTAGAGGCATTAAAGAGATCAAATTAATGAAGTTTTTCCAAACAAAAGAGACATACACAAGAGAGCTTGGGTAAAAATTGTCCTTTAAAACATAATTCATGACAGTTGACAAATGATTGCCAATACAAACACCAATGAGCTTTGGAAGACGTTACAGCTGATATTGTGGCTCTAATCTTTCACACTTTAACTAATTTTTCATAACATCCAACAAGCTGATGGCAAAAGGAAAGAAAAATTGTCCACCCCGGCCGGGAAATTTAATTCAATTGCATTGTGCCAACTTGATACCAAGGGTTAAAGCCTGGTTTTCACTAGTGATGCAAGCACAAACACACCCATAAGGTAAGTTTGCTGGGTCAAAATGAATGCCGCCGAGCACAAGCACTAGCACACAAAAAAGACAAAATTCTGATCCTTGTACTTTTTATTTGTGCTTGTATTTATGCTTGCGTTGAGTCAGTTTTCATTTTGAAGTTAAGGAGCTGTTCTGCTCGTATTTGACTGTGCTTGTGCTTGTGCTTGTGCTTGAGCTGGTGTCGCAAGCAAAAACCAAGCTTGACTGTTTCTCTCATCTTCATGTAGCAACACACCCTCTTTAAACTAACCACTTTGTCCCTGACAACCTGACTGAGTGAGTGACTGACTGACTTCTTGACAAATGAAGGGATGTACAGGGGAATGGATGGACACACTAATATACAAACAGATGACAAATAATTTGGATATATCAACAAAGTTGAAATGGTAAATTGGCCACCATAATGATTACAAAAGCTGACGTTTCGAGCGTTAGCCCTTCGTTGGAGCGAATAAGCAGGTAGCCAAACTGACACAATTGTACTACAAGTAATTATCTGACTTGATGAATGACCAACTACCTCATTTGATTTACTGTTTGAATGTCAGGCTGACAGAGTACCTGGCTGAGTTAAGGTGGCTGAACACAGTTTTTGATACCTGTGTTTCTTTCACCATATTCTCTAAAACTCTTGATCTCTCGGTCGCCAAAACTGGCAGCAAGCAAGTCAAAAACACAAACTTTGTTTTTTTTGATAGTTAAGCTGACGAATGTGCCACTGACATGGCAACATGGATAAATATAAACAGGCCTTTAAAATCGGTTTTGTTTATTTGTAGAAAATCTAGTCATTAGATTTTCTTTATAATTTGCATGCAACAAGCTTGTAACGATACTCACAAGTTTACAACAATTTGCTAACAATTTAACAGAGAGATCTTTATTATCCCTTGTTGAAGGTTCACTCAATTATCTATTATTTCCTTTGTTCAAAATCATTTTTTTCAATACTCTAGTTACTTATTTCCTAAAGTATTTTCATGCCAAATTTCGTGAAATTCTAATGAGTGGTTCTCAAGAAAAAGGCATATTTCCGAGAAAGCAATTTCCATTCATTCACAATTTTTTGACTTACGATGCATGTGCTACATTTAACTGAATTATTTCAGTAACAATGAAAAAGCTGAGAATTGCTGGGTTCTTTGCCCCATTAACTTTTCTAACATGTCTTTGTAATAAAAGATTAAAGCCCTCAATACACTGCACCAACTATAGAGAAAAATAACACAGTGCGGATACGTGTTGAGTAAATAAAATGACTGCTCAGCTCTATTGACATGTTTGTTTTTCTTAATCCTTGTGTGCGCCCTGAATAGCATCAGAAAGAGTGCGCACGAAAACTGTTTGGCCACCTTAAAGGGTGCCTATTTGTGTGATTACTGGCTTGACTTAGTCAGACCAATTCTAATACATTTAAGAATAAACACTAGCGAGAAAAACACACAACGTTTCGATGACTCCATGTCATCATTCTCAAGTGAGAAGAGAATAAAAATGAATAGTTAATTTATACCGTACGAAGGTGGCAAACGTAAAAAGTTTAAAATATTTAAAATATTTAAATAAATAATTGCGCGTGTT